TCTTTCTTTTTTTTTTTTTTTTTTGCTGTGATACCTTGAACCATCATTTTATGTTTCTCAAAGAAGCTTTCAATGAATGGTTCTTCAGCTTTTTTTTTTCTTAGTGTGAAGAACATTTTATAATCTAAAGAACAGAATAAAGAACCTTTATTGCTTCTGTTGAAGGTTCTTCATGGAACCTTAGGTGGCAATAAAGAACCATTCTTTTTAAGAGTGTACTGCAAAACTTTAAATTGCTTAATGGATAGAAAATAAATTTTCGTCTTTCTTCAGTGGAAGTCCTCTTTCCCATACAATAAAAAATGAAGGCGACATGCATTGATATCAAGCTCCAAAGATGACAAAAGGAGCACAATAAAAGATGTCAATATGACATGTGCACTATAATTTAGTCATATGATATAGGTTTGTGTGAGGAAAATTCTGAAATTTACCTGAAAATCTGGCCTTTTTTCTCTCAACTCTCACTCTTACTTTTGCATATTCATACTTTAAGAACGAATGAGGTTTGCCATCATTGCCGTATAACTTGATGTGACATTCAGACATTCATGAATGCAAATAAGATTTTAGAGTTATGGTGGACAATTACTTACATTTTACCTATTTCTCTCTGATATAAACTGATATATGCCTTCTGAGGACCTGAAATATAAAGTACAAGTCATTTGGACTGCTTTTATTGTGATTTGTTTTTATCATGTGCCAAAGCACATTTTCTTTGCCATTTGTATATCCCATGGAAGAAAGTAAGTCATATGTGTTTGGAACGACATGTGGATGAGTTTTTATTTTTGGGTGAACTGTACACTGATAATGTGCCCAAGACATCTACTTTTGTTAAAATACCTCTTTTGTCCACAATAATGCAGACTTCATCTGTAAAGATTGTCAGATAAAGGGGAAAGAATTGCAGCAACATCATTTTCCCTCTCTAAAGGTCACTGACCAGTTTTCAGTCATCCTGACATATTTCTCAACAAGGTAAGGTGAGGAATCTCACTTGAGCTAACCTTTTTAAAAGACAAGTAGGTCCTATCATTAAAACTGATAGACTGTACATGTACAGCTCTGCAAAAAGATATGCAGTGTCTTTAACACAGCAAAGAAATATAAAAAGGGACATCCTACAGAACCCCCAGCAAAGAATTGCCATGACATTGTTTAAAGTATCCAGAGAGATATTTCTGAAAATATTTAGCATGACAGCATCAAAATCTGTCCCTGTGGGTGAAGTTCTGAATGCCAAAATTGTCTATTTAATCTAAATATCCCTGTCATAGATCATAATGAAGCCAAAGCAGATCAATCCTGCATTCATTCTTTAACATTAAAGGAGATATATTATGCCCCTTTTTACAATATGTAATATAAGGTTGTCGCTTGCAAAAACACAGTAACGGCGCCGTTGGTGGAAACTCACAGATTAAGGGGCTGTAATATTATAATGAGATCCCTTTGCAACGTCACTAGGACGATTAAGTTGTCATGTGGTATTTAAATGGTGTGTTTTACAATTGAATAATAATTTGAATTCAGTATGTAAATGTTGCAATGAGTGCTTACATGCAGACTGCACTGATAACTATCAAGGCTCAGCTTATTATAAAAGGCTAACAATGCAAAAGAATTGCATTTACATGAGATTTGAATTTATTGTTGCATGCAAACATCAAATAAGCTGGTGAAATTAAAGAAAAATCATTTTTTATACATTTTGAACTATTCAGAAAGAAACATTTACATGCATTCATATGACACACTGTCGGGTTAAGCATAATCAATACTGTAAATACATGCTCCATGATGTTAGTGCATGGTAGTGACCAATCAGTGCAAGCTTGTTTAATCTTAAAAATAAATAATTTAATTCATTAATATATAAAATATTAAATGTATAGTATATACATTTTATAAAACTATATACTCAGTAACTGTTTTAATATAGTATCCAAGTGGAAACTATGCTTGCCATTGTCATTTTATGGTAAGTGTTACGAGTGAAAGCTAGCTTTCAGCACTATGGACCAGGTTACCCTGATCCTTGGCTCATCATGAACACCAGAATACCTGATGAACACATTGTTCGGCAGACAATGGCATACCCATCCTTTGCTCTGTGTTCACAAAATCATATTTGATTGGGGGTCTGGCAGACTTGTATGGATGAAATACTAGAGGTATCACGTCTCTCTTCTGACTCTTCTCCTCTGAATGTCAGCTTTAGATTATTTTTATGTAGATGCTGTCACTTTCCATAAGATAGCAAAGCAGATGTTTGATAGACAAGTTATTTTGGAAAGTTGCTTTTCATTTGTTGACATTTGCAAGACATTTGTAATTTAAGCCTCTAAGATGCTTGAAGCTAGAATGTTATTTTGTAATACTTTTTTTTTTTTGCGTATCATAATATTTTTTAATATTTTGGATTAGTTTCAGATATTTGCATATTATCATGATGACGAAAATAAAACTCATAGTTACCCAACGCTGTGTTTCTTTCTTCCAAGAACTCCACTTTCACAATCTGATTGACAGGCGGTGCGTCCTCCAGTTTCTCAATAAGAGTCGTAACTAGAACTTCGTTGTTGCCAGGGAAAACGCCTAAATGGTCACCAGGCAAGTATTTCAGGCTCTCGTGGTTGTTGGCATCAAGACGCACAAATATAGTCAATCGGCTAGTAGACAGGAAGTAAGAAAACATGTTAATATGAAACAGTTGCAGTCATTCTTAAAGAGATTATAAAAGATATATTCATACACAAGAGAAATTGGCCCTTTGCTAAGCTTTGCCCACATTGGGTATTTTTGTTAGAATAGGCTGGAATGAAGTGTGACATTGCAAAGCATTTTATCTGCCATTTTTATGTTAAATTTAAAATAGTGCTGTCGAACGATTAATCGCGATTAATCGCATCCAAAATAAAAGTTTTTGTTCACATAATATATGTGTGTGTACTGTGTATATTTATTATGTATATATAAATACACACAATCCATTATATATTTTGAAAATATTTACATGTATATATTTATATTCATATAATTGATGTTATATATAAATATATTTTATACATAAACAGCATATTTTTTCTTAAATATATGCATGCATGTGTGTGTATTTATATATACATAATAAATATACACAGTACACACACATATATTATGTGAACAAAAACTTTTATTTTGGATGTGATTAATCGTGATTAATCGTTTGACAGCACTAATTTAAAAGTAACATTATAAAAACTCAAGATACAAATTATAACAAAAAAGCAGATTCTGTTATCGACATTAATATAGCTAGAAGCAAATGTATTTTCTGTTACAGATTTTCTTAACTTCTCAGGGTTTAATACAGTATTTTACCATATATACAGTATATATAAATATATTTATTTATTTATTTACTTTTATGTAAAATTCAGTTTAGAGCCATCCAAACACACCAATCCTCCATAGGCAAACATTAGAAAATGATGGCAGATTGCTAAGGTGAATTGGTCACAAATGTTTTTAAGGCAGAACTTAATGTCAAAGACTTTAATAAGAATGTAAATCGGAGAAAATTAGAAATTAGACAGAATATTAGCAAAAACATACTTCGATCTGGCACTTTGTAGGTTCTGTCTCATCAGAAATTTGGCCCCGTAAACTTTCTTCTTATGGATGCTGTAAAGCGCTGAGTGTGGACACAGAAACCAATCAACAGTTAAAACATGCTGTGTGAAATTAGACCATATTAAACATCAAATGGCAATTTAGCGGCCCTACAACTTCATTTGCTATAAAACTCACAATGGAGCCGAGCCGCCCATTTCAAGATCATTTCGAGGACTTTAGATGCAATGGTAAAAAGTCTGTGATATAGGAAATCAGGCTTGAAAGCCCTAAATGCATTGTTTACACTTTAATCAATTGAATAAGGAAGTGTTTACAATCCTCTGGGTAATGCTAACACGGCGCTGAGACAATCTGTGTCAAGCTAATGAGCCACTAAAATGGCAGTCCCTTTAAGAGTCATAAATTGGCATGCGTCATAAATTGAGGCGATAAAAAAACTAATTTCACATCATTTAATTTGATAAAAGCTTATTGGCTTTCTGAAATGATGAGTCATTCCTTGATGAATGTACCTTGCGTTAGTGTCGGTGCCTCCGCCGTGTATGTCATCCGGAACTTGCTTTTCTTCCAGCTACGATCGTTGCTAATCAAGGAATCGTTCGCTTTCTCAATATTAACATCGTCGCCGACACAGAAAACGTCACATGCAGCCTGGGATAAATGGGATAAAAACTCATTTAAAAGCATTTAAAAAATAAATAAAAGGTATATACACAGTAATTAAAACAATAAAGAAATCATTAAATAGTATACATGCAGTATATACAATGTAAATGTTTTTTAGCCTTAAAAATGTCAATGAAAAAACAAAATAATAATAATAAATAAGAAAAGTATAAGTGCAGTACAAGAAATATACACTAAATACATAATTTAGGCGTAAAATGTGTAAATTGAAATATGCATAATAAAAAATAAAATCCAAATTAACTGTTCTTATTTAGGTAAAAAAAAAAAAATTTGTACAGTACAACTGAATCAACCTGACTACACCAACAAGCTCTTTAAATAACAGCTTAAATTTTGCAATTATTTATTTTTGCATTTTGTTACAAAAACAAATGCTGATTTTTATTTTTCAAATATAGAATCCATGATTATAAAGCCCCAAAAAGGGCAAAATAATTATCGTTATAGTAGTCTATTACTATTTGTGAGGTATGTTCTTTTACTCTGCACTGAAAAAAACAATTAATCGAATTTACTAAATTCTTTTAAAGGGGTCATATGATGCTTTTTTTAAAGATCATTATTTGGTGTATTTGGTGTAACCAACATTTTGTTTATTTAAATGTAGCTAAAATAAATTGTTTGCAACCACTTACCTTAAAAAAATGTAGCATCATTTTTTTCAGTGTGCACAATGACAATAAGGTTAAAAAAATAATAATTCTGAAATCATATAAATTTGTGTAAAGAACAACTCATAATATAAATACCTTTTGCAAATCTAAACTTGATAGCCAATATAAACCTAATTTAGATTTTAATAGGTGACAACAAATAGTTTCTACAGTGTCGTTCATTTTAAAAACAATACATGCAAAGTAGTGACTGTAGCCCACTGCTCGCTTATGGCAGTACCTTGAAGACCTTCTTGGCCCATGTTTTGAAGGATTCCTCTTGGCCGCAGAGTTCATCTCCCTCTCCCATGCGCAGGATTCGTTCCCCACCAAGCTCTTCGAACAGCGTGTCCACTGCGTGGGCAAATGCACAGAAGTGTGGGTATGCCCGAGAGCCAAGGCCAAACACAGAGAATCTGCATGGGAGAAACAGAGTGTTGAAAACACTTTAAGCACATGAACACAAACAAAACGAAGCATATTATAAGAGTGGGGTGGTTGTGGACATCACGCCAGGGGCTGTGAGCTTTGATCCTGAAACTATGAAAACTAAACAAGGATGAAATTCAAGGCCGGAGAGGATGTTACGCAAGCATGCGCACATGCATACGTACAAAGCTCACAAGTCAGAGCTGATTTGCAAAAAGTGTGAAATTTCTTTTGATTGCTTCAGGATGGATTTTCTTTTCAAACTAAACTTCTTTTAGATGGTTGTTCTCTGTTCTTTTGCTCTTTGTATTTTTAGTTTTCAAGAAGTTGATGAACTTCAATTTAAGCCAGAGGGACCACAAAGACACCGGAAAAAAAACAAATACACACACACATAGGAGAATATCAAATCAAAGTCACCACAAAATCAAAAGAAAAAAAATTACAAGAGAAAATAAGAAACCAAGTAAATATATTTTGCATAAAGAAATTAATTTTGAGAAATGTAGGCCTAATTTAAGACCATTGAGAATTTGTGCATCGCAACATTTTCCCTCACTGTAAAAAAAATTATATGATCAGTAAAGCATGGCAACTTATGTTCTTACATTAACTCATCAAACTAAGTTGGACAATTTCAACTTTTTACATTTCAAATTCAACTTGATTTTTAAGTCAATTTAATGTAATTTAATTTAATGTACAGTATATTTAAGAATTTAAGGCAGCAACTGAACGTAAATTTTTGAGTTATTTTGAATATTTTTTACAGTGGTTATTTATTTATTTATTGTTTGTTTGTTTGTCATTGAAATCATGTATCTATTTAAGCCATTTTAAGCCTTTTTGCATTAAAAACGTTTTTGAATTGTGGCATAATTTATCTAAAAAAAATAAATAATAATAATTATTGACTGAAATCCAGAGGGATCACACAGACACTGGAAGAAACCAAAGAGAAGAAAATTATAAAAACAAGTTCAAGTCACCACAAAATCAAGAGAAAATAAGAAAACAAGTAAAAATATTTTCCATAAAGAAAATTAATTTTAATTAAATTTAGGTCTGCTTTAGGACCATTAAGAATCGTTGCACTGCAAAAACATTTTGCCTGAATTACTGTAATGTAATTTTATTTATTTATTGTTCAATTACTGAAATCAGTTATCAATTAAAGCCAGTACAATACAAATTCACATAATAAATAAATTATTTCTTAAATACATTTTTTTTTTTTTTTATATATTATATGCAATATAATTTATTTTAATAAAGTACATTTCATATATAATTTTATATACGAGAATCTGGGAGGAAATATGCTTATGCTTTGTGCTTTTTTAATGCACAAATTGTGGCATAATTAATCAAACGACTTTTTGACATGATTTTGATTTGTTTCCTTCTTTTGATTTTGAGGTGGAATAACCCAGACATGTTTTTAAAATGTTGAATATTTTCTCCAAATACAGGCAGTACAGTACCTGACATTAGCAAGTGGTCCAGTGCTCTCAAAGTTGGCTTTGGATTCAGGTTCGTCGCTGGAGGATTTGTGGGTATCAGAATATGAAGAGACGCTGTTAAAACGCACCTTGTACGACCTGAGGGACAGAAAGAGAGAGAGATTTTTTTGTGTGTGTGTTTATGTGAATGGTTCCAGCATAAAGAAGAGAGAAGAAATGCATGTTACGTGTTAATGTGTGTGCCTGTTGCATATATGTTAGACTTAGTAGTAGGTGTGTGAACTGAAACACTGAAAAAAATTAATTATGGGAAAGCAGATGGGTGGGAGGACGAGAAGAAAATCACTCGCTCGGGTCTCCACTCGCGCACACACTCACTTTCGGTCTTCTACGCTGGTGGTGGGATGTCTCATCTCCATCAGTGCCGCACCAAATTTCTGTAGAGTGGAAAAGGGGAGAAAGAAAAACAGGAGAGAAGTTACTGGCCCTTCCCACGCATGTTCTCAATCACAAATTCAACCAGGACCTGCCAGCATAATGCAGGTTCTCCATTGTACAGTATATGTGTGAAGTCCTTTATCATCATGATGAGAACATTCTAAGTGTTGACAATTTGATTCAAAGCCAAACAAAATGATTGATGTGCTCATTGAAATACTAGCGCGCTAAAGCAAACTTCTGCTTTAATAACTCACTTCTCCGTTCTCAGGAGGGTCCCCATTGCCGAACGTACTTGTCACCACTAACACAAGCGTCTCGTGTTCCAAATCGACGGTGTCATATTCATCCATGGACATCACCTGCAGGATCAAATAATATAGCATAGTACATATGACAACTCTCTTGTGCTGCTACATCTACATGATTTTATAACCTCAGTACAAACATCATCCATCTAAATAGTTGTATTAGTCCTATTGTTGTTGTTTATTAGTTTATTGTCGTTTTATGCCACTTTTTTTATTTAGACATAAGAGAGAGGAGACAGTGGGGAGAGTCAGGGAATGTGACTGTGACGTACACTTCATTCAAATCACAAACCCTAAGTATTACACTGGTCTGTTTGAGCTATGACAACTGAAGTAGGGACTCAAGCCTTGTCTGTCACTCAGAATATTGCACTTGTGGATGGACTTTCTTGACTTGGGCCAGTAAGCAACCACCTAAAACATTCAAGGATCACAATGGCCACTTTTGCACCAGCAAACATGTAATCTAGTTATTTGCACTGTTTGTGAAAACATATATAACGCTTCATCCACTAGACATGGCCATTTTGATGTGATTGGTTTTTCTGTCTCATTTCTAGGCCAGGAGCAAAAGTTTGGATATTAGATCAGCGTTTGGAGAGATTTTAGGCAATGTTTTCGAGAGTGAAAAACCACACAATGTGCATCAAGAATGGGAGGCACGTTATCTCTTGATCCTAACGTACCGCCAAAAGGGGTGTAGAGGGATTTGAACAGTTCGTACGGCGCCTAACGAGCAGCTAATGCGCCATAATACAATTAACAGAAAAGACGCATCAGTGCGTGTGGCAGGGCAAACGCCTTCAGGACATGAGGAGAGAGAGAGAAGCGGTATATCTGCGTCATCTGCATGTAAATCACGTAATAACAAGCGCACATGAACAAGATTGATTATTCTGCTAGATTATAAAAATAACTTTGCATTTAACTGCTATCCCAAGGCAAAATACATGCACTCTAAAAAATGCTGGGTTGTTTCAACCCAATTTTGGGTCAAATATGGACTAACCCAACTGTTGGGTTAAAAAGTTCATTTAAAAATGTAACCAAAATTTACCCCACCATTTGGGTTAGTCCATATTTGACCCAACATTGGGTTGAAACAACCCAGCATTTTTTAGAGTGTGATCAACTCAATACTTTTATACGTCACATAGCTTTGAGTGTAATGGGATCTTATCTTAACCTACAGCTCAATGCCTGCGTGAGTTGATTCTTGGCATTTGATGGTATTGGAGGAAAATAAATTGTGGCAAAAGACGCATCTGTGTAAGCCATCGCATAGCACGCCTTGGTGTGAAAGTAGCTTTCTAACTCTGCAATCTGCAGTCTTGAATTGAAAGGGAGATTTTTGTTGTGAAACTAAGGGGATACATGTGTCTTACGTCAATATTCTTTGTCATTTTGTTTACATCAATGTTTATGTGCAAATCCACTGAAGGCATTCATTGGGGATGAATAGAAGATGGGAAGGGTTTTAAGAATCACGCACAGATGTCAATCTATTATGTGCGGTTTAAGAACAATGGGCTTACCTTGGCATCAAATGCATGCTTGAAAATCTCACAGAGCGTTTTTGCATAGTCCTGCGACTTCCCAGTTTCTGTGGCGAACAAGATGGTGGCTTTGACTCTCTTGGCCATGGCTTGTCCCATGAGTTTGGCGGAGAATTTCACAGCCCTGCAAGTTGCACAAACATGTCAGATGCAAGAAGAGTTGCTGCAATAAATGGATGAACTTCACATTTATTGAACTGAACTGAATCAACACTGAACTGCCTTGAGATTAATAATGACACTACAGGGTATTGGCAGAGTTTTTAAAATCAAATTTAAGGCTTTTTAAGATCTTTTTTTAATTCATAAACCGTTACAAGCTCAAAAAACATCATGCACCTTAGAATATTATACTTTATGAAACAGGCACACGCTCAACTGAAAAACAGGGTAACTGCAAGTTTAAAAATTCAAGAAATGTTTTATTCAATACGTAGCGTCTGGACCAATCAAAAACACAATTTTCCATTTGATTTAACAAATCAGTTATTCATTAGATTAACAAGTCGTCACAGACCCCTCACCCAATAGTATATACATATGTACTGATGTTGGTTCATGTACCAATATATCAATACACACGTCGAGTGATATTAGATTTCGCTGATATAATAATGATATGTGGAAAGAGAGATTACAGATTATTGTGCCGATACTAATAAAACCTATATACTGAATATGCTAAACCTTTCATTCTTGTGATGGGCGGCCCAGAGAGAAGTCACAAGAATTTACATCGAATAAAATCCAGATACAGTTTATTGTGTATCTAAATACCCATAATAACAAGGGGAAAGTAGATATAATGTCAGACTTTTAATTATAAATGTCACGTTATGCTGTTGAGGGAACACGCTGGAGGCACGAGTAAACCTCCTCATTGTGGGGAAGTCGTGGCCTAATGGTTAGCGAGTCGGACTCGTAACCCAAAAGTTGCGGGTTTGAGTCTCGTACCAGCAGGGATTGTGGGTGGGGGGGAGTGAATGTACAGCGCTCTCTCCCACTTTCAATACCACGACTGAGATGCCCTTGAGCAAGGCACCGAACCCCAAAAATTGGCTGCCCACTGCTCCGGGTGTGTGTTCACGGTGTGTGTGTGTTCACTGCTGTGTGTGTGCACTTTGGATGGGATAAATGCAGAGCACTAATTCTGACGTTAGGTCACCATACTTGGCCACATGTCACTTCACTAAACGAGAACAGTCTTTAATCAAGGAAACACAGAGGATAATCCACAATAGGCGCTTGAGCCAACACACGTAGACAACAAGTAGAACTGACAAATACAAACTGAACAGACTGGGGCTTATAAGGACTGGATAACGAGGGACAGACAGGTGCGGGGAATCAATTAATAATCAAACTAAACAAGGACAGGAACAAGACCAAATAAGGCAAAACAGGAACTGAAACACATGATAAAACAGGTCCAATCCTGACAATAAACAAGCCTGGAATACGCGGGGACTCTTATTTTCAAATGCAGTCACTTCCAGACAAAAATATGCGCTCTTACAATCATCTACAACATATTACAATATAATCACCATAAACAGTGTTATAATTTAACAGTGCTTTCAAACATGCAGTGCTCACATTGATCTAAATCACAGCCTTCTGAAGTTGAATAATTCCATTAAGTTGTATCACAGTTATTGCTTTAGGACCTTTAAAAGTGATCATTAAGACTTTTCTTGTAACATACAAGATATTTAAGTCTTTTTATGACCTTTAATTTGATCTAAATGAATTTAAGACATTTTAAGACTTTTTAAGGACTCATGGGTATCCTGAACCTTTATCTTTTTAGAGATGCTTTACAGCAGAATATGAATGTGTTCGTGAAGTATGCAAAATTGATTCTTTTATTTTGCGGATTGGCTTTGAAAAAAATCTGTATTGTACAAAGCACTATATAAATAAAGGCGACTTGACCTGACTAAAAATCTCATCGATTATGAAATGTGCAACAGCGTTCCTGAAAATGATCTCTTCCACCACCTCTCAGCGAGAGTTCAACACACTGACAGACACTTTCCCCTCATTTCCGAGACCACAATCACACAAACGTAGCTACAGTATATCCTGCGGGCAATTACGGTAATAGCTCAGAGGCTGAACGCTGAAGGGACACTGAAAGAAACCTGATTACACCTGAGTGTGATTCAGTGAGTTAGACTCACGCTATTCTCAGCATAATAACGGGGAAAATATGGTGGAAAGCACTCTTAAACAGCCATTAACACAACCGCCTGCTGAAGTTCCCAGGCTACGGGTTATAATTACAACAAAAGGCTGGCAAATAGGTTGAGCACTGCAGACGGCCGGCCTTCATAAGCACCATACAGGTTAAACTCAATGCACACTTTGTGCTTGAGACAAAAACAAACAGCAGAAGGTCTCGAGCTCTTCACCCACTCACTTGGCAAGTTTCTTGAATCCAATTGCTCTTTTCTTTGTGGGCGTTCCATTCATCCCTTTCCACACGTGAGTGTTCCACGGGTCAGGCTGGACAGTGAAAGAAAGAGAGAGCAAGAGAAAGTAGCAGAGCATATTTTAGTTATGAGAACTACAGGCTGATTGTGATCAAGTGATTGTAACAGAGTTCTGCAAAGAGTCCTAAAACCCAGAAATTGAATTGTATATTTACTATTTTATCATTTAAACCAAACCAGTTTACTTTTGTGAAATGATTTGCTTGAAAAGTGTTTGTGCTTCTTTCTTTATAATAGATGCCACCTTGTTTACCTTACCTAACACAATTACATCCATCCATTCTAAGTATGGCTTAAGAATTAAACTTCACCATTACAAGTTTGCAAAAAGATGTTTTTGCTATTTGCAAATTAACAAAAAGCTTGATTGTACTCATTAGTGAAAATCAAAATCTTGATATTAATGTAAACTGGACAAAAGACATACCTGGTACTCAAAAGAAGGTGTGAGGCGATAGTTGAGCATTTCCTGGTGGAAAACAGGTGTAATGCTGCCTGACATGGGCGGCACTATCCAAACCCAGTCACCCGGGCAGCCTCCCCTCACTCTGTACTCATTCTCCATGTGCTTTATGAAGGACTCGGTGGCTGAGTGATGGTCTACTATGGTAACCTTTGACACCTACAAGGAAAAATTGGAACGAGTGAGACCAGATCAGACCAAAACTAAGATTAAATGCAGCTTGTGAAGCTAATCAACCAGTATGGTCTTTCTGATGAAGCTAGTCAAGCAGCGCCTCATGCAAAAAATACAACAGTTACACTATAAAAACTGATTCTTAAAACAAGTAAATAATGAAAAGTTACATATTTTCTTGTTGATTATAGTTTTTGGGGTTATTCTAAAGTATAAGTATATTGTACGGTGGCCGATAAGTGCAAAACAAATCACAATTCTGAAAACAAAATAACCAATTACAAACGCAAATGCAAATCTAAAAAACAAAATAAAAATTCAGAAAACACAACAACAATTCCGAAAACATTATAAAAAGTCAAAAAACACAACGACAAATCCGAAAACAAAATAACAAGTCAAAAAACACAACGACAAATCCGAAAACAAAATAACAAGTCAAACAAAATGTCAGAAAACACAACGACAAATCTGAAAACAAAATACCAAGTCAGAAAACACAACGACAAATCCGAAAACAAAATGTCAGAAAACACAACGACAAATCTGAAAACAAAATACCAAGTCAGAAAACACAACGACAAATCCGAAAACAAAATGTCAGAAAACACAACGACAAATCCGAAAACAAAATACCAAGTCAGAAAACACAACGACAAATCCAAAAACAAAATGTCAGAAAACACAACGACAAATCTGAAAACAAAATACCAAGTCAGAAAACACAATGACAAATCCAAGAATAGGTCTCTGCGGACCAAAAAGGGGGCGTTTCTCAAAAGTTCAATGTCATTTTCATCTCATCTAAATTATAATGCCTGAATACTGCCTGATAAAGTAGCATTTATGAGAGCTGCGCAGCTTTTGTGTACAGCTGTTACGAGGGAAACCGTTCCAAAAGCGCCTCCTACTGGCAGAGAATCAATTTGCATGTTCAATAAGGCCGTTTTCTACTTTTGAACTGTGTCTTAATGCTGTTGGATATAACTCAATTCGTTTAATTTTCCTAATAAAAAGACTGTTCAACTCTTAATATTTTGTATTTATATTCTCCCCTTTAAATTCTCTCCGCCCCACATAAAAAAATCCTAATTTAACACACCTCTGCCTGTTTTTTTTCTTCTTTGCATTCCCATTTGCTCAAATAGCAAAAGAAAAAATCACAATAGTATTTTCACGACTTATAAAAAGAAGAAAAAAATTAGAGAGATGCTGATAACGGCAGTCAGAAGAGAGTACTGTCAAATTTACATCACTCCCAGATGCTGTAGAAACACCCTCGCAATAGCATTAACTAGTTTTTTGTATTCTGATTCAAAGGTAATATAATACAGAGTCATTGTGTTTTTTGACTTGTTATAATGTTTTCGGAATTGTTGTGTTTTCTGAATTGTTATTTTGTTTTTTAGATTTGCATTTGCGGTTGTAATTTGTTATTTTGTTTTCAGAATTGTGATTTGTTTTGCACTTCTCTGCCACCGTAATATTGTCTTTAAATTTAATAATAGTTTACAGTTATTGGTAACACTTTACAATACAGTGGCACTAATCTGCATTAATTCATGCTTAACTAATGCACAGATAATCATGAGTTAATATATAACTCAGGAAGAACTAAACCATTTATTAATAATTACTGCATCAGCAACAAATGAACATTCTGCATGATTCATAGATTAAGTAATCAATAAATTGCTATTTGTTAAATGTGTCATAATGTATTAATTCCCTAATAACATATTATATTAACTAATGTGTAAATTTGTGTGTTAATTACCACAATGGGTCAAAGCCATGCATTTCAACTCCCAGTTGTCTGCTTTAATTACTCATTAGCTAATGATTTGCAAAGATATAATGTTATGACTTTACTTTAAACCACAATGATATACGCTATTACTTAACAATTAGTTAATAGTTCTGTGCCTCAACAAGTAAAGTTATAACATAATGATACCTTTGCAAATCATTATCTAATGATTAATTAAAGCAGACAAATCGAAGTTGAAGTACATAGCTTTGACCACTGTGGTAATTAACATATGAATTCACATCATTAGTTAATATAATATGTTATTAGGGAACTAATACATTATGACACATTTATTTATTACTTAATCTATGAATCATATAGAATGTCCATTAGTTGCTAATGTAGTAATCATTAATAAATTGTTTAGTTCTTCATGAGTTATACATTAACTGGTGATTATCTGTGCATTAGTTAAGCATGAATTAATGCATATTTGTGCACTCCTATTGTAAAGCGTTACCCAATTATTATATGTCCTCTAATAGAATAATAAAGAATAGAATCAATAAAATGTCAATGCTTGACAAAGAAAAAGTCCATAATATAGCCAAATCCCGAAATTGTGTGTGTGTTTTTTTTTTATCTGACACAAATCAAGTGCGTTTTCCCAGCATACAAACAGCAACAATTGTATGCATTCTTATTTTCAAATGCATTTTATCTTGTGATGCTTAATGCAGCATGTTGACGTAAGTCAATACAACCTACAATTAAATCCACAGATTGGTGTGTATTGCAGCACGTCTAGTTTTCCAAATAGATTTAATTGTTAACTGCCATTGTTTTGACTCCATCCGCAATTATGAAAGATAAGAAAACTGAGCACAGCTACTTACTAACGTCTAATTAGTTTATCAGTGTTGAAACGGTTCCGCAAAAGCCTTTTAGCAAGAAATAAGGTCTTGTGGGTAAACAAACTGCAGGGGGTGTGCAATAAATATCAATAAAAATGTTTCTTCAGTCACAGGAGCTTTCAGTTAAATGTCCTAGGTGCTTGACTCTAATAAATAGAACAGAAGAGATTCAAGCTTTTGATTTGTGAAAGCCGGTTTATGCTTTGTTCGCTTGCATGAGTCTTTATGAATGCTGCATGAACGTGAACGCAGGGATTTGCTTTTAGGTTCTAGGAGAAGCTGTGTAAAGAGATGAACTGAAAAAAAATGAGATACTGGCAAAAATAGGTAAACGTGACTGAAAATAAGACTAGTGTAAGATTATATGTGGGTGAACCTCACAAAGCTTGTCAAAAACATGTCTGGGCTGAGTTTGACAATAAAATCAAAAGAAAAAAAAAGAATTAGATTTTCTGAAATAAGCTAAATCAAGCTTTCCATTGATGTATGGTTTGTTAGGATAGGACAATATTTGGCCGAGATACAACTATTTGAAAATCTGGAATCTGAGGGTGCAAAAAAGTCAAAGTACTGAGAAAATCGCCTTTAAAGTTGTCCAAATGAAGTTCTTAGCAATGCATATTACTAATCAAAAATGAAGTTTTGATATATTTACGGTAAGAAATTTACAAAATATCTTCATGGAACATGATCTTTACTTAATATCCTAATGATTTTTGTCATAAAATAAAAATCGATAATTTTGACCCATACAATGTTTTTTTGGCTATTGCTAAAAATATACCCCAACAACTTAAGACTGGTTTTGTGGTCCAGGGGCGCATATATGCATATAGCCTGTTTTTAAGAACTTCTTTTTGGTGTTGTGACGTTATTTATATGACAAACTAGCACATCTCCACATCTAATTATTATCATTAGTGTAAAAAAAATTGCACTGCCTGTAATTTATACTGATTATGATTTTATTTATTACAGTATTATATGTATGTGTGTGTTTATTTGATTATTTATATTCATTTAATTGTTTATTGTTAATCTCCAGACAATATTGACAATTCAAGTATCAGACTGATCAGATTTTGATTAAAATAAAGCCACATTGTCTAAACTCTAAATGGTATTAAAATAGGCTGTATCTTAAGATTTTGACTTTTTTATTATTATTAAATTCCCCCATCCATGTGTGCTCACCCCACCTGGAAACTATAAAGGACTGCGATGTTGATCTCCACCAGTGCCTGGTCCTTCCACAGGGATGAAGTCTTCCTAGTGTCCAGCCCCATCATTGTAGCTACTTCCTGAAATGAAGGGAATTAATCATACTGTACAGATAGACTATTCATACTGTATTCTCTCATGATCTGAACCAAGGTTAATAGAACTGCCACTCGTGATCTGCCTCTATAGATCAGGAAGATCTGGAGCCACCGTAAGACTCTCTAAAAAGACATTCTATAGTCAAAAGATTGGACACACTTGACATGAATATGTCTTAAAAACCTTCTGAAAGCTGATTCTTAAAAGTTTTTAAATCATATTTGATAGATATATAACATCCGATGGGTTTGTAATAACATGAAGGTGAGTGAATGATCTTATAGATTATTAGGATATATTCGAGTATATATATTTATATGTGGTAAAGCAAGCTGATTATATAGGCCAGTTGGGCTATTATTGCCTTTTAGAAGTTAAAACTGTAAGTGAATTTATTTTTTAGCATAAAGGGAATATGGAGGAGAGATTGTAATACTGAATGAGTAACATAATGATGATTAAAAACAGCATGTTTATGAATTAAAATCTGCATAAATTAAAGCGAGCAATTCAAAACAGGATAAACAATGCGTAATATAGCGTATAATCCACTTAATCCATTGTAACGGCTCATCAAACACAAACGTGTCATTCCTAATGTCCTGTTGGGGTACAATGTCTAATACATATGCACGACATTTATAATGATCAAATGTAATGCAGTCTGGGTTCAAACTGTGGTAATGCAGTATAAAAAGTACAACTTCTCAATGGTGCAGGGGTGATTTATGGCTGTCTGGTATGGTACCTCAAGTATGTTGTATCGAGAGCTGTCGCAGAAGTCTCTGACGCCGATCTCTGTCCCCATGTACCAGCCGCTGAAGGGGCAGGCTGTGAACTCCAGTCCCCCGATCTCTAACAGCATGTTAGACACAGCAGGAAGGCCATACCACTTTAGATTCAGCTCCTTAAACCATTCGAACCTAGACAGACACAGACAGCAGGACGGTCAATATTGAACCCAGCGCAGGGAGAAAAGTTGCATGCGGAAATGTTTTTCAGCGAAAGGTTCTTGAGGTTTATTTGCATAACATAATGTGGTCAGTAGAATATCTTGGCATATGCAGATGTACACCATTAAGCTTTTAGAGTATTCCGTTTACAGTTTCCATCATAATTTCTCTGTTAGTAAATGCGCACATAGTGAGCACCGCCAAAACTGTCATTATCTCTAAACCGGCACCTGCAGGTTTCTCAGGTGTTGCGCTAAGAGGCCAAATCCGCCTGTTTCTGTTATTAATGCTGTAAACACAAGTACTCTGGTGGAATGGCTGATTCATGCAGAAGTTTTCACACAATTATTGCACTAAATATGGCACCCATTATTGTCGCAGCATAATACCAGCATTTTCCCCCCAAAGAAACAATATGTAAATGCATATCCACTATTTACATATGTTTATTTGACTAGTCATTTCTTTGAGCAGTTTGAGGCAAACTTTCAATAATGGGCATTATGCTGAAAATTGTTGTTTTTCTATTAGTGTTTCAAGGCTGTGGACATTTCCAACCTGATCTCATGGGAAAACAACTATTTTATGATTTCATATGTCTGAAATTAAAATGTATAATTTTTAGAAAAATAGTAAGCATGACAGTCCATCCCTAAACATAACCCTAGGCTTGAGGCTTGAGATTGTACAAAAACGTACAAATGAGATTATCCAAATTAGTCACTATAGGCCAAAATGTATAATAGTTATGAATTGTCATGAGATGCCATTTCCTAATAATGTTTGACTTGTGCAGTTTGACTTCATAATGGTAAAATTGCTCACATATAAAAAAGAAACACCCACACATTTTAAAACACAGGAACATTGAGTATATAAAACAGGTATGTTTTAGCCATCCTTCAACACTGAATTCAAGGTTTACTTCAAAACCTTCAAAAACGCCTTATTGCAGAGTGGTACGCAATATGCATTAGGTCCGCAAAGGTCATTTTCATTTACACTTAAAAAAAGCTGTTTATTTTTGCACGTGGGCAGTATATGAGCAAAGTGTTCTGTTTTACTTTACCCATTTGCTAGAACATGTAGCTGAAAATTATTTTGTTTATATTATTTATTAATTTCATTCAATTTAATTGCATTTGTCCACTGTTACCCTTTGATGAGAAGTTTAACTTTGTCTGCATGACTTTTGAGTTAGTAGCTATCAATGCTTAATTTAATGGTAACTCATGCTAAATTCTTTTCAACACTGAATCATTAAAAAATATATACAGTGGGTACGGAAAGTATTCAGACCCCCTTAAATTTTTCACTGATGGACAATTCACTCTTATCTAGACCTGTGACACACAGAGTATCTCAGGACCCAAGTATTTGATCATCTGAGACACATCAGTGTCAAACAGACAGCATTAAACAAGCAAACTGAGGCAGGATCTGGAAAAAGGGCAAGTTTTATGCCACATTAGCCCATGTTCCTGAATGTACGTGCACAAGAGGCAAGCTCTCAGCTTGAGTTCTCTGTTGCTATGCATCCTAAAGCTCTGCGCATTACAGCTTCTCTAATATGCGATTTCCCTTTGGTACGTACTGCATGACGCAAGCTATTATCAGATTCTGGGTGGATGAACATTTGAGGTGCAAAGTGTTTTAAGAACTGGTGTGATTCAGTAATGTTTCTACATAAGCTTGATGAGCATTAGTGTGAACCCCAATAAAACTACAATATGTTTGGTTCTTCTTACTTTGGATGTATGATGGGAACCTCAAGCACAAGATCATCAGGAATCTCAAAAAGCTCTGGATCGTTTCCATTGGCTTGGAGAAGAAGGGGCAAAACGTCAAAATGGCTTTTTGGAGCTTTCCATCCTTGCTGTATACAGATCTACAAGTCAAAAACCAACATTACAGTTCTTGTTGTTTTGGAATATGTTAGTTATTCAACAAGCTAATGACCATCTTGGACCTGCTAAAGACTTCTTTAAGTCAGCTAGAAACCAGCTACCAGGTTCCAAAACACAGACACCAGCTTAAGCTGGATTTTGCATGCCAAAAAACAACTCAAACACAATTAACAATCAACCCAGTGATAACAAGAAATGCCCATGATGTCACAAAATATGTTTTTTATCAATCAGTTTGACTCAATCGAAACTATTGCAATGTAGCTTCCCATCTCACCTCTGTAAGCTCCACCGAAGCCGGATCTCCGAGAATTGATCCATCAGGCTGCTTGTAGCCTGCGTACCGGATCAACTGGCTGTTCCACACCCGGAAGTCATGCTTCCCGTCTGTCCTCTGGGGGAAGATGGTAATAGCCGATCTGGACATCAGAGACAAGGAGTAATGCTGAGATCCCTCTGGTGGATTTATACTTCAAATCCTCTAATACAGGCAGTTTTACAGACTCCATGAAATCAGACTTGTGTGACTCTTAATCCATGTGTGTTAAACCAGTTTTATTTGTATAGTACTTTTCACAGTACGCTGCTTCACAGTTGCATATAGCAGATTACAGCTGGGCAATAATATAGTTTGTATTTTGCAACATGTTACGTATGACTTGTGATGTATTTTTGTACATGTCTTGCTTTGCTGGTTCTTTCTCTTTCTTTTGTCCCACCCTTTCTTTCACAGGATTGGATCCTACCAAAGTGATCTCCAGATCTGACTGGTGCTAATGGGACCAAGGAGAGGCAATAAAAGGATCTGCAGCACCTGAGGGGGGAGCTCTGCTCAACTTGTGATTTCCTGTTGTTCTATTGCACATGTGTTATTGGCTGTAGCCAAAAACTTAGGCAGCTGAATTGCTGCCTCGCTGCCGTATGAGGCAATGACTTTGCAGGCAGCGTTTTTGCACGAAGGCACCTCATGAAACTGATTTCAGACAGGCTTCTGAGGCAGCATAACGGTTTAATGATCTACAACAAAATAGAAGAAGTTTTGGGGATAACTAAATGAATACTTAATTACTATAATACTGATTTCTCGCTAGAAATAACATCAAAAGTGCAAAATGTTAGTCAGAAATATACATTTACACACAAACTGACCACCAAATGCAACTTTCAGACGCCATCTTTATTTATTAGCTTAACCGTCACAGAATGGAACGCACAGGATTGTGGGATATCAAAGGCAGAGAAGGATACATCAATGCTGCCTTCAAAATTCGATCAGAAGAAGGTACCTCCAGAGACAGGAAGTAAAGCAGAATTTGGATTCGGACGTGCCTTGATGCCTTCCTGCCTTCCAGCATTTTAGAGCTTTCGGACGCAGCCATTGTGTGTTTGCTACAGTGTGTTGTTGCTGTTAGCTTGCCTGTTGATCTGCCTGTTGTGTGCAGTGTTAATTTTGGTTTTGAGTTGATAAATTGTTGTCCGTCTCATTTCCATTTTGTATATTTTGTAAAGTATTGTAAATACTCTTTTCCACACTTGGAAGCTGTAGGGGGTGAGTACATCTACATAGATACACACACACACAAATACACACAAACTGCTTTTACTACAGTAATACAATAAGCTTTTAATGAAGCAACTCAACATTTCTTCGTTACTAGTTCTAAAGTGACGTTTTGGAATTAGTAACGGAGGCTTGGGCTCAGCTGTTAAACTGTCAACTGTAGATTTGGATCCGTGGCGGAAGGAAGTAGTTCACACAGAAGAATGGATAAATATAAATATATATAAATATATATATGAAGAGTTAATTTGCAAAAACCGATAAACGCCACTTTAAAAAAAAAAGAGCTGATTGCCGTGCA